CGAATGACAGAGTGCAGCAGTGAACACCGAAATTTGCAGTGTTTTTACAGGGCCTGCTTAAAATATATCAGTAGCAGGAAGGGCAAACCGTGGGTGTTTGAGAAGCTAGAAATATATTTTGATTAGCCGTAACTCATAACTTGTTTCCAAACATGCAGCTGGTCACTTTTCCAATTGCTTTACCAGTGCAGCGTCGCTTGTGGCCATCCTGTTTGTAGTCCTGAAGTCTATTTCGTCGTCACAAATTTGACTTATTAAACCTGTGATAATGTCATTGAGCAAGTAATTAACTGAGTGAGAGTGTCGAATTGTTGACTGACCCATACAAATAAGAAATTTTAATTTAACTCTTTTTTTCAAGTTAATGGCAATGAATCGTTCGGCAGATCCGTGTGAAAATTTTTTTGAATATGCTTGCGGCCAGTGGAATCGTGACCACCCAATCCCGGATGATATGTTCGCATATGGTACATTCGCATTTGTTCGAGAAATCGTTCGCCAGCAGATGAGGGGTGAGTGGATGTTTGGAACTATAAGGATTTCGCGTAATCACTAGCTGCATTCAGTGCAGTTAATCTTCGTCCAGCTCGTTTATTTGCGCTGCTATTTTTACTCAAAATGGCTATCAGACTGAAAATCCTCTCTGCGAGGAATTGGTGCAAGTGACTCTCTTTTATCGGCAACTGTGACCCGCTAAGAAAATTGATGCGCTGTAAAAGCAAATTGGATTCCATAGCATTTTAAGACATGTCAGTGCCAATTTTGAGCTGAAACCAATCAGTGCACTGCAGAGGAGTGATATCTCAGCGATATCTTTGAACAAAGATCTGCCCTATGTTTCAAGATAAAAGGGCACAAAAAACACCTACCTCATCTAACCCTATCCTTTCTCGGCCGCTCACTGGAAATATGGTCGCTTGCGCACCAGAGTTGGTGATGCGATCATCGACAGTATGAATGGTAGCTTTGTTGCAGTTTAATTTCTGCATCCTTGTTGTTTTTGCTCCTTTCTGCAAATGGATGAAGAAAGGTGCCGGATGAGATTTCGTTCAACTTTCTGGCATTTGCGATTATCCTAAGGAGGGGTGTTGAGTTTTTTGCAACTCGAAG